GTTTCCCATTGATTTTAATAACAGGGTATAGTAATACTAAGAGGTACCCTGAGGGATCTCCTGCACTCTGCGTATATTCTTCCTTTCCTCCACTGTGGAGTAGCAGTCCAATTTCCCCTTGACAGTCTGGGTCAGTCACACTGACAGCACTGTGACTCCCTTTTTACCTTGTTCCCTCAGAGGCATGAGGAGACCAAAATTACCCAGGGGAAGTCTTAGCTTCTAGTTCACTGGTGTCATTGTTGTGCTTCCTAGTACAGCCTTTTCTCTTCTGGAACTAAGACTTCTAGGCCAGCAGAACATAAGGTTGTGGGGACAGGAAGCAAAACTTTTGCTAGTGGATCACTAGGGGTAATGGTGAGCAGTACCATTCCTACTTCCACCCTTGATTCCTGGACCCATGAATCCTGGCTATGTGAGACACAGTACATTTAGCTAAACATATTTTTTTCTCTTCTTTTGTTCATTTTTGAGGGGAGGGAGGTAGTAGGGCTTGAACCCAGAGTTTCCAACTGAGCTACATCCCTAGTCCCTCTTTTCATTTTTTATTTTGAGACAGGATCTTGCTAAATTGCTAAACTGACCACACTGGGCTCAAAATTGCCATCTTCCTGCCTTAGCTTCCAGAGTAGCTAGGATTACAGGTGTGTGCCACCTTGCTCAATGGTACCAGAAATTTATTTTATTTTATTTTATTTTATTTTGTTTCTTTCTATCCTTTGTTTGTTTGTTTGTTTTCCAGTACTGGGAATCGAACTCACAACCTTGCGTTTGCCAGGCAGGTGTTGTGCCACTGAGCTAAATCCCCAGCTCCTTTATTTTGTTTTTTTGAGACAGGGTCTTTCTGTATGGCCCAGGCTGGGCTCAAATTTGTGGCAATCCTCCTGCCTCAGCTTCCTGAGTGCTGGGATTACAGATGTGCACACCCATGACTGGCTTTTTTTTTTTTAATTTCTTGAGACAGGGTCTCACTATACAGTTCAGGCTAACCTTGAACTTACTATGTAGCCCAGGCTGGCCTTGAATCACAGTGATCCTCCTGCCTCCCACCACATCTGGCTTTACAGGAAATTTAAAGGAAAGATTATTCCCTATCTGTAGACATAGTTAAAAGAACCAACAAGGGCTGTGGAGGCATCAGGGACTAAGAAGAGCAGGGAGCTATCCCCACCCCCTGATGAAGGAGAGAAGAAAGAGTAGTGCCATGTAGCCCGGAGAGCAGCAGGAGGGCAGGGAAAAAACCCCCAGGGGTCCGTCTCCTGCCCTCGGGACACTGCTGTGCCTACGTCAGAAGCCATGACTACAGCTGGGGCGGCCCAGAGTGATGCAGTCTGTAGGGCTGCAATAGATGGAGAATGGGGGTGGGCAGGAAACAGAGCAACCAGCTCAGTCAGGACGCGGCAGGGCAGGAACCGAGGTCAGGACTCATGGCTCACCCCCTGCCTCTTCCATGCCCTGTAGCACTGCGTGCTCCTGTGTGTGGCCCCCGTAGCACTGGGTGCTCCTGTGTGTGGCCAGTGCCTTCCCAGGGCGCGGCCCTCATCCTGTGAGGAAGCCAGCAGCTTCACACAGGGGCCCTCCAGGCCAAGCGGGGACTCAACTCCTTCTCTCCCCATCTGGGCCAGGGAGGCTGCCTGTGGTTCCCCGGCCCAGCGGAGGGGCAGAACCCTTTGCTTGCACGCACCGAGTCCTCAGCGCTTCCCGTCTGCCAGGAGCGCCGTGTCATTCTTGGCTGTACTGGGTCAGGACGGTGCCTGCTACGAAAGAGGCTCACATTGGTCGCTCAGTCGTGGACCTCAAATGATCTCCCTTTCCTTAGAACATGGAACTCTGATTTTACAGCGTATTTTCCAGAAGCTTCCTGACCTTCTGTTGCAGAAAAAGAATGTTAATTCTGGCTGTTCAGTTTGGGCCTTGGAGGAAGACGACGGTTGTGGTAATAAATGTAGTAACATACTGGGGGTGATTAAAACATGCCAGGCACAGAAGAAGCATTTTCCACGCATTGTTTTGTTTAATACATTGTGTCGGACACCCCTGGTACAAATCCTGGTGCCACCACACAGGTGCACCAGGACAGCGTCTTGCCTCAGGCCCAGCTGCAGACGTATCCTCCCTCTCTTCGGGATTCCTCTGGTTCTTGTGCTTGCCGCCTGGCTGCTACTGTCCAGGTAGTTCTGAGGGGTTGGACTCAGAACTCAGATGCCCATGGCAATGGCCAGCTCCATCATGCAGCCTGGCATGGCTGCCCATCCCTCCCTGTCTCACTGCCCCCTCAGGATCACATTCCAGAGTCACTGATGTAGTCTTTTGTCCCACGCTCTGCCTTCAGGGAGCCCAGGCTAAAGCAATCCTTACAGTAGCCACCACAGATACTGTTTTTGTTGTCGTGGTCATTGGAAACAGGGTTCTTACTTTGTAGCTCAAACTGACCTTGAACTCTTAACCCTCCTGCCTCAGCGTCCTGCGTGCTGGGATTACAGACATGCACCACTAAGCCTCATCACAGAAGTACGCTTCTTATCCCGGGTTCTCAGGGGAGGAACCTGAGACTGAGAAAAGCTCACTAATTTGCCACGATGGTACAGTGGATAGAGGGAGAACTGTGGGAACATAGGAAATGCTCCTCCTGGGGAGCGGGAGAGTTTGCCAGTGACCTGTGTTGAATCTGGGCTCTGTGGTCTGTGCCCGTGTGGGTACCCAGTGTCTCTCAGCTGGTGTAACATGAGGACAAAGCTACCCCGGCCTGTAGGGTCTTAGTACAGATCAGAGAGCACGAAAGTAAAGCTCTCATATGTGTAGGTCAGGCTCTATGCTAGGTGCTCTTTTGGGTGTTAATTTTTTTAACCCTGCCTTTGTGAGGCAGGTGTTTTTAGAGCTCAGGGCTGCAGCGGAGAGGAATTAGGTCTGAAAGTGAAGCCGTTTATCTGAAGTCACACAGCAAGTGCAGACCCAGGATGAGGCCTGGGGGTGCCTGCGGAGTCTGTGGTCCTGGCTTTCCCGGGACTGGCCTTGTAAGAGGCATGGAGTGAACAGGGATGACTTTCCTAAGCCTGGTGGGAAGACAGCTGCCATTTCCTTACTCTTCCAGCTGATTGGCCCTGACTTTCCTCTGCTCTGTGACCCTGGTTCCAGGTCGTAAAGGCCGCATCGAGTCACAGCCTCCCTTCCCCCTGCTGTGCTCTGCTCAGGCCTCCTTAAGAGAGCACAGGCCTGCGGAGGGCTGCTGGCCTCTCTCTAGGCAGAGATGGCTGGGGGAGACCTTCAGTCCCTGCCTGGCTGAGGGAGGGGGTTGGCTTCTCACTCGGGTTCTCCAGCGGGAGGGAGAGTGCTTTGGCAGGACTGGCAGCTCCGCCCCCCATGTCCGCTCTGCCTGTGAGCTTGGGGCCCCATCCCGACCTCCCTCTGCTTTCCAGCTGCACTGAGGAGTTTCCCAGCCTTCCTCATTTCCTCCCTTTGGCTTCTGATCTGCTCAGCCCCAGGCCCAGCCCTGCCCCCTACCCAGGCTCAGCAGCCGGAAAGGGGGGCTGGGATCAGCCAGTGAGGGGAAGCCTCAGCATTTGGGGCCAATCCAGGAGCTGGTGGGTGGGTAGAAGGGGTGAGTGGAGTCAGGAAGGAAATGTATAGGTGGAGAACTAGTAGATCCAGAGCCCTTGATTTCAAAAACAGGGCTTAGCACCTAGTGTTACTATCTGTATACTTAGCACTTGCCACCCACTACCCTAAATTCTGTATGTGTGTAATTTCACTTAGTACCCACGCGAGCCTCTAGGGTAGATGTTGTGACCTATGACTTACCAACAGGGAAAGGGAGGCATAGGGAAGTTAGCAGGTCTATCTTAAGCCACGTGGAATTGATCATGCAGGGATTTGAACCCAGTTCAATTTCCTTCTCTTGTAAACCAAGGAGATGGGGCAAGAGCTAAATTGAAAAGCCCCACGGGGACAGAACAACCCAAAGAGCAGAGACAGGGGCAGCCCCAGAGCCCCGGAGCTGTGGCTGTGTGGGTGTTCAGTGTCTCCTACTGGGTCATCTACAGCAGACGGCCACCACCAGGCACTGGGGTCAGGACCGGGCTGCGGCCCCGGGCGAGGTGGCCATGGGGAGGCGGGCACTGCGGGGCGGGGATGACAGACGCCAGGGGCCCTCCCTGAACAAAGACTGGGTGGGAGGTGGCCTGTGTCTCCGCACCCCGCCTCCCCCAGCGCCTGCGGAGCCGCGACGACGGCGACAGACGGCGAGGCGGGCGGAGGAGCATGCTCCG